TAAATGGTATAACTCTTTGGTTGAGAAGGTCCAGAATGATCCATTAAAATTTTCCAACTTTAGAGTCGCAAACGGGAAAATGTTCAAGTATGTTAAACCCAGATTTCGCAACCTGTACAAGGATTCTGCAGATAATTGGAAGGAAGTTGTTCCGAGAGAACGAAGACGGCAATTATTAGAAAAGTGTCACGATGATCCCACTTCAGGACACACAGGAGTGTTTAAATCTTTTATGAGACTTGCTACCACATATTATTGGCCAAAAATGAGCAACGATGTAAAAACATATGTTTCCAAATGCACTGTTTGTCTTTCTCAGAAACCTTTACAGAGAAAGCCAGTAGGTCTTATGTTGACTCATCCTAAAGTAAGTCACCCTTGGCGCTGTATTTCCACTGACCTTATCGGCCCTCTTCCAAAATCGTCATCTGGCCATATGTATATTTTAGCAGTATTGGATACTTTTACAAAATTCGTTATGACTTTCCCTTTAAGACAAGCAACTGCGTCACAAGTTGTTAAGTATATTGAAGAACATGTTATTTTACTTTTTGGAGCACTAGAAACTATACTGTGTGATAATGGTGTACAATTTAAATCTAAAGAATTTTCAGCGATGGCATCTAAGTATGATATCAAGATAACGTATAATGCAAGGTATCACCCACAGGCAAATCCAGTTGAACGAACGAACAAGACCATAAAAACCATGATTTCTTCATATGTTAAAGAAAACCACAGGCATTGGGACAAGAACCTGCAGAAGATTTCCTGTGCTATCAGAACCGCCACCCATGAAGTAACCAATTTTACACCATTTTTCTTGAACTTTGCCAGGGAAATAGTTTTATCGGGAAAATCGTTCATGGATAAAGATACTTTGGAAGATAAAACTGAAGTCAGTAGTCCGGTTATAAAATCCAAAAATCTTAAGGATATTTATAGTTACGTTGTCAAAAGGATGGAGGCTAACGCTGACAAAAATAAACGTTATTATGATCTACGTCATCGCCCCGACACTTTCGAAGTTGGAGAAAGAGTATGGAGAAAGAACTATGTCCAGTCAGATGCTTCCAAGTATTTTTCTGCTAAACTTGCACCTACTTTTATAGGACCTTTTGTCATTTCTAAGAAACTCAGTACGTGGGTTTACGAACTTTCCAAAGAAAATGGCACCGTGGATGGTGTTTGGAATGCTAAAGATCTGAAAAAGCATGTTGTGTAGCTAATTTTGTCAGAAAAAGAAAATCCTTCGTCTTTTCTTTTTTTGGGAAAGGGGGATTTATGTAACGGTTTTTTCTTACTTTAAAACATTATTGACTTTTATTATTTTTAATCCAGTAATAATGTTTAACCTATATTCTTTTTGTCATTTTAGAACCTGAAAATATAATATGTTTTAATATTTTAAATATTACTGTTTATAGCATTTGAACTTTAACGTACCCAATTGGTTTTACATTATCATTATTTTTATAGTTTTGTATTAATCAGCTGATTTCGTTTAAATTGCGGTTCGTTGACTTTTCAGGGGTTTGCTAGTTACTTTTATTATCCTGGGTTGGTATGGGTTTCGTTTATTTCCTTTCTTTAATTTTAATCTTTATTGTTACAATGAAAATGTACTTATTAGTGGATACGTTGGCAAATAATATCTTTCGTTACTTTATCTTTAATTTAACTTTCTGGTCGATTATATTGATTCGTTATTGGTGTATTTAGTTTTCCCTGGTTGGCAACCATGTCCACCAAACTTTTGACGTTTGGTGCTTTACGTCGGTTGTTTTTATTATATTATTTTATCATATCATTTTTTATAGTATTTCCGGTGTTAATCTATAAATACCTGTAGACACCCTTTATCGACCTCTTCTTCTAATTTCCCTATTACCGTGAACGTCGGCGGAACGGCAAAGTGTTATATTCTTCGTAAAAGCACGTGGCTTATAATTTTTCACAATTTGATTTTAAGTAATATTTAGTAGTGAAAGCCATCAATTTTATATTGGAGTAAAGCTTATTTAGAAGAATCAAAGGTGTATTTGTTTTACACTACAGCTGTACGCTGGAGCCAATCTTAGCCACCACCGAAGTACACACAGGTATATATTCTTTTTCTTTTTTTTTTGTTTCCTCGTATTTGTGGGGATGTTTCCTAAATCGTCCTGCTTTTTAGAGCAGAGAAATTAGAGGGAGAGCAGAGCTGAGCACAGCAGAGCTGAGCACATCAGAGCTGACCACGTCAGAGCTGAGCACCTCAGAGCTGAGCACCGTAGAGCAGGCTTGTCAGCCGCATTGTTTCATCCACGAGGCCTTCTCGCCGTGCCAACCAGGTTTCCATCACCTTGTCGACCTTCTGGATTACACCTTTCATTTTTGGATCACACCCGTCTTCAACGTTTCAACATTTTGTACCATCAGGTTTTTATACATAAATTCTTTTCGTCTTCAACGTTTCACCATTTTGCACCATCGTCTTCAACGTTTCAACAACTTTTTATATACAATTTTTATACATATATGTTTTTAATATTGGGTTGTGTTGTTCTGTGCCGAAGCTATCCAGCTTCTGCCGTATAACCAGTTGCTGGAGGGTTTCGATACGGGCCAACAGCCCTTTATATTTATATTAATTTCAATTCTTAGTATTGACTAGTTTTGCTAGATGTTTTGCGAACTGGTGTCGATAAACCTGCTCGTATAACCAGGTTTATCCAGACCAGGTTGCAACCTTCTGGTTGCTAACCCAGTACTCATTTTGTTATATTTTAAATTGTAAGGATAATTCTTTCGAAAGAAATATTTAAACTCATTTGTGTCATAGATCCTTGGATTTTATATTTTCATATTATTGAATATTATTATATATTTTTTTTATTATTATATATATATTATTGTAACAATGTACTGATTGTTTTCGTACTTTTAATACGTACATTTAATGGTTTATGTGGTAACAACAACAAACTTATAACAAATTTTGGTTTTTTCTACTTAATAAATTGGTATAGTATTTATATTACAATGTTTTAATTTTTTTCTAATAACTTCCTATTCCACGTTATAGACAGCAGCCCTTGGTCACTAGCTATTTTATTTTAACTTGGTGGCGCCCACAGACGAATATATATATATATACAACCCAGCCCTTCTCCGCAACAGAGCTACGCTGGCCTAGTGAACCATTTAAAAGGGATTATTAAATCTATAATTTATTAAGGTGTCTGTGGTCGTCCGCAACTTATTTGCCATAATAGTTTGGCATATAAAGTTGTTACAGTCTGGTGCCTAAATACAAAACAGATGTTTATTATGGCGGTTGAGATTTTACAAGTACCCTTTCAAAATATAATTTATTATATAATCTTTACGTAATGAACAAAACTTAACACAACTAAACAAAGAAAACCAGTTTTTGCATCACCAGAACACAACACAAAATTAAAGTACCAGTTACTCCAACGACCCTTAAAGAAGCTATAGTCGCGGCCAAATCTGTATGGGTGCACGTCATCAACGGCATATGACGTCAGCGTTAAGGTCTATTCATACGTGCCCAGACACAATCTAACGCTCGTGTATTGTTGACTGTTTATAGCGGTTGGGGCTGTTATTAAGATGGAATTATAACGTCCTTGTTATAATCTTCTGCACTAACTAATTAGGAGTTTGTTACAGGCAAATTTTTATTAAATGTGTTTAAAGAGAAAACAAACGGAGTTTATTACATTTTTATTACATATGCACATAACAAAAAAATACTAAATTATCAGAAACACAAAAATAATAAATTACCAGTCGTCCTTGTCATCAGAGCAAACCAGGTCAGAATTGAAGTCTGATTATTTCCCCAAATAATTTCGAAGACATTGCGCCCCTAATAATAAATTTGGGCCAAATTTATTATTAGGGGCGCAATGTCTTCGAAATCTAATAACGGCTAGTTGCCAACAAGCCTTATATCATTGTTTGCACAATCCAGGGATTGAATCTTATAAACATAATGTATAATATTATTTATAATAATTTGCAACAAACGATGCTTCCGGACGAAATGTCACAATTACAAAAATACGTCAAATATAAAATGACAGCGACCCATCAATAATATTGAACGGTGCGCGCCAGCCTTAAGCTATTACCAACTGGCACACACAAAAATTACTAAGTGAATGGTTTTATTTTGGTAATTTCGTGAAAAAACGTTTTAAAACAAGGAAATTGTTACAGTTCTTGGTAAACAATACGCAAATGAATGATTTCTTTTTAATAACACATCAGAATTACGCCTTAAAAAAGCAAATTTAACGGCAGTAACTTTACAATTCAAAGTTGGTAATGCTGACGTCATTATATCTCATTGATGACGTGCACCCATATAGATTTGGCCGTGACTATATATAGCTACAACCTTAGTAATACCTAAAACCTAACACAACTAAACAAAGAAAACCAGTTTTTGCATCACCTATTGGAACCAGAAAACAACACAAAACAAAGAAAACCAGTTTTTGCATCACCCATTGGAACCAGAACACAACACAAAATTAAAGTACCAGTTACTCCAACGACCCTTAAAGAAGCTATACTACCCACCCAAATTTGGGATAATCCCAAAGTCATTGGTCACAATAAAAATAACATGGCTACAACCTTTGTAATAGGTAAATCTAATAAAAGAAAAAATTTAACTCAAAATTTCAACTCCTTTTAATATAGCAGAATTTAAAGAAAATATTAATAAAAATTTTAACATAGAAGAACCTAAATTCATAATGGAATCAGTGTGCAAACATGGGCGGATTTAATGACAATTGTCACACACATTAATGTTCCTTCTTACCAATAGATAAATAAAAACAAAGCAATACTTTTTCTTTTGCCAAATATGTTTTAGTTAATAGGTACTGAAAAAATTACAATCAATAAATTTAAACTTAAACTTCATATTTTGTGCTAAAACCTAAACTTTAAGTTAATAAAAGGCAAAAAATACATACCTATTTTTGTCATTAGCGAAAAAAGTATCAGGCACCCATATTTTTTCAGCAAAATCTCCTGAAAGCGTTAAAATTTCTTCCTCTGAGCTAAAAGCAAGTCTTTCATCCTTCCAATATTGATTTAAATATAGTGTAATCGTATAATCCTAAAAACAAAATAAAAATTTAGAATTTCCTGATAAACTGTCCCAATTTTCTTTTATGCATTTTAATTTATATGTTTTTTTTATAAAAAATGTAATATAAGGGTTGAAAACAATGCAACGGTAAATTTATTATTAAAAACAAGTTTCCAGTGAATTAAAAATTAAAAAACAAATGCTTTTTGTCTTGTAACTTTCGCAACAAAAATATTAGGGAATTTTTAATCTTATTTAAAAATACCTTTTTAATGCTTATTCTAATATTTTATTCTTCCATGTCACACTCGATTATGTTTCTGCTACCTTTATTAACCTATGTACTTTTGGGGACCATAATGGTACACACCTAAAAGTCCCAAATTGATACAAATAATAAAGGTTAATGTTCTGTCAGTTTTAGGCTAAAAATAATACAATATTAGTATTGTTTGTGTTTTAATATACAAAAAATACATAGTAAATTGCTTTATTTTCAGAAAATATGACAAAATTACTGACAGAAAATTTACCTGAAATATTTGTGGACAATAGTTTAACGTTAAGAGATACAAATAAAATGCAAGATGGATATTTTTATAAAATAAAAATTAAATTTTAAAACCACATGAAATTACAGCTTGTCAATATAAAATAATGTTTTTACACTACCAACTTTAAAACGCACATGTTTCCATGACACCTTAAGGTGTATGTATCTTGCCATGACACCAAGTAATATTTTAAATACTACGTTCACAAGCTGTGACTTTATGGCGTTTTAGTCACGGGCTGAAGTTGGCAGCAGTGACTTTTGGACTTTTTAGTAATGAGATAAAGTTAGTTGCAGTTGTCAAATGTCATACAATTGTCAAAGTTAAGCGACTGGAAAGTGAGGTTAAAACAGACTGACAGATTTTATTTATTTTTAAAAATTATTTTTGTGTCAAAAAAGTATAGTATCCATCTTATTTATAAACTTTTATAGGCATTCGTTTTTATTAAATATTCGCTTGAAAATTTGGGCCGAAATTAAGTAAAAAACAATCAATATATTATTATTATTATTATTGATAATAATTGTTAATAATGATTTATTAATTATAATCTAATTTTTTTATCGTTTTTATCGGACACATGAAGATTGGGCCGAAATTAAGTAAAAAACAATCAATATAATATTATTATTATTATTGATAATAATAGTTAAAAATGATTTATTAATTATAATCTAATTTGTTTTATCGTTTTTATCGGACACATTAAGATTAAGGCATCAGACTTGCAAGAGGGAGCTTTATAAGCTCGTCGTACGCTTATAAGATATAGTTGATCACATAAAGTCATTAGAAAGGATCTAAAAGCTGTAACCTTGTCACGGCATTGACGCCTAATGAGAGTATAAAAGTGTCGATAAAGAAAATCATTTACTCATTTTTTGTATAATGGTCTTGTTTTTACAACGACGATTTTTTTCGTCGTGTTAATTAACCGTCTACAGTTGTTAGTTAGATAGCTATAGTTACTAGGTACTGTACCTAAATTTTTATATTTTATAAACACAATTATAAAGGTTATAAATCGAAATGTATTTCTTGAAAATTGACAGTTTTTCACAGTGAAAGTAAAGAAAATGTTTTATGAGCACTTTACAATGGAGTCCGTGCCCGAATTTAAGTTATAGTTTACTGCCGGTGAAATTAAAAGGTCAGTACAATGTTCATATAAACTTTTCAAATATTGGCGTTGAGAAACTATTTAATACTTTTATATTTTTGTATTGAGATAATAAAATAATTTTCACATTTAGTATTATTTTACAAGAAAGGCACTTTATTTTAACGATTGTATGACATCTGACAACTGTCAACTAACTTAAAACTAACTTCAGCCCGTGACTAAAGCGCCATAAAGCCACAACTTGTCAATGTTTATTTAAAAGGTCACTTAGTGTCATGGAAACATGTACGATAAAGGGCGTTTTAAAGGTGGGAGTAGAAAAAATATTTTATGTATTATATTTTAATATAAAAGAGGGCGCACCCAAGAATGCTGACGAAGGCGCCAGACACCCCAGGAACGGGCCTGTGTAGATTTCCAAGGCAAAAGTTTATATTGACAGGATATTGCCGGATATCGCATTTATATTGGTTAAAAATCTGTGACGTAATGAAAAATGTGTATGATATGGATATGGATCTTATTATAGTACAAAATTTAGATTCTAACCGCAGATTCCTAACATATTTTAATTTTAAATTAGCATAAACTGTACCATCATTTGCATGCATTTAATTTTAAATAGTAGGTAAAATTCATTTTTTTATCTGGACTGCGGCAACGTTGCAAATTTAGGGTTTTGGTTGGTAAATCCGGAACCAAAATTGGTTGCATTGATTAAAACAAACTAAACTAAACTGCGCACCAGTCAATGTGTCGCGACCAAAAATTTCGTCCTTTTTCAAAACGACATAACTTTTTTGTTTCTTGAACGATTTTATTTTGGTTTGTGATGTCTGCTAGCCCCATTCTCTGGCAATTCATGCTATAGATATGAAGCTCACGGTTTTTCAAGTAAATTTACTACAGGGTGATATGTGAAAAATTTCAATAACTTCATCCAAGCCCCGTTTGTAAAATAAATATTTTTTTCTCGTTTTTACTTTGAAATAATGAAGTATTATGTCTTACCTTGAAAAGTTTTTCAAATTTTTCGAATTGGAATCTTAGCAACAAAAATATGATTTTTTTTTTCAAAAGAGCACATTTGATGCTTTTTGTAGGGCCGGAGCCTTTTTAAGATAAAAAAGATAAGATGGTGAAAGATTGTTCCTTAAATAATTCTGAACAAGCGACAAGCAACAAACTTCCATTAATTTCAGAGGAACCTAAGCAAAGACCACTTTTTCAAAATGACATTTTGGAGAAAATTTGCGAAAACTAAACCTGAACCGATATTTACGTTTGTGACATGTTTGCTTTATAATTTTGACCTCCTGATGTGATTCAGTTGTCAAATTTAAGTTTTAGATGAAACCAAAAACACCAAGAATCAAAATTCGAAAACAATTCCCGGCTGTTAAATGTCTCAATAACATGCCTTTGCCAATGCCATTTGGGGATTCATTTTTGTTTGAGTGGTTAGGATAATGTTACATAAATTATATTTATATTGCTCACTAGTGATAACTTATTACTGATAAGTACCTACCTAATTGGTAATAAAGTTAAATACAAAATTTGTTTGTTTATTTTTGAAAATTTTATGCGAAGATATAATCATAATAAAAACTACAACATTCAACAGAAAAATGTAACAAACAATAACCATAATAACTTTCAATATTTCGTTGGCCCTCTCCTAACCCGTAATAATTCGTTAACCCTCCTGAGCATTTCCTAGACCAAGTTCCTTAGAAATTTCTGGGGTATGGCTTCCCATTCTTCCTGAATCGAATTTACCAATTCATCCAAATTTTCCATGCGTCCTTTCCTTTCTTTCATCTTCAGTTTCATCCTGCTCCACACATGCTCAATAGGATTCATATCCGGAGACAAAGGTGGCCAATTCGTTCTCTCAATATCATGGTCCCTTAAATACTCATTTACGATATAAGCGCGATGCGGACGGGCATTGTCGTCCACCAACACCAAATTATTGGCATTTAATTTTCATCATTTGATCCTTGATTTGATCATTCAGTGACATGATAATAACGTACTAAAAATGCAAAACACAGTAAAAAAACAGTAAAAACCAGCAATCAGATTTTAATGAGACATTTAATATCCAGGAATTGTTTTCGAATTTTGATTCTTGGTGATTTTGGTTTTATATGAAACCTAAATTTGACAACTGAATCACAATCAGGTCAAAATTATTAAGAAAACATGTCACGAACGTAAATATCGGTTCAGGTTTAGTTTTCGCAAATTTTCTCCAAAATCTAATTTTGAAAAAGTGATCTTTGCGTAGGTTCCTCTGAAATTAATGGAAGTTTGTTGCTTGTCGCTTGTTCAGAATTATTCAAGGAACAATCTTTCATTATCTTATCTTTTTGTTCTTAAAAAGGCTGAGTGTATTGCCTACAAAAAAGCATCAAATGTACTCCATTGAAAAAAAAATAATATTTTTGTTGCTAAGATTCCAATTCGAAAATTTTTAAAAATGTTTCAAGGTAAGACATAATACTTCATTATTTCAAAGTAAAAACGAGAAAAAAATATTTATTTTACAAACGGGGCTTGGATGAAGTTATTGAAATTTTTCACTGTTTTACATATCACCCTGTAGTAAATTTACTTGAAGAACCGTGAGCTTCATATCTATAGCACGAATTGCCAGAGAATGGGGCTAGCAGACATCACAAACCAAAATAAAATCGTTTAAGAAATAAAAAAGTTATGTCGTTTTGAAAATGGACGAAATTTTTGGTCGCGACACATTGAGTGGTGCGCAGTTTAGTTAAATTAATTAAATGCAATTGTGGTTTTGTTTAAATTATTGTAGCTTACATTGAACGCTTGTCAAGTTAAGTCAAATTGAGTTGTCAAAATTCGTAGTTAAAAATGCAATTAATTTGGCTTTAGTGGGGGTATAGATGAGTAAAATGATTTTACTACATTTACTAAAATCATATACAAAAGTAGTTAAATATAGGTGACTACAGCCCAGGAGAGACAAAGTATTCCTAGCGGATAATAATCTTCGCTTTAAAAAGAATATATATAAAAGAAATTAAAATTTTATGTGAACACACGTGAATGTTGTCCAATCATTGGACTTCAATGGTGAATGGGTATTTTGTTAAAGCCACTTGACGTTAATTCTCGTAGTGGCTTAATAATAATTATAATGTATATATTGTTCAGGACTATTAATAATCAGTAACTTGCAAATTGAAAGAGGAAAAGTTTCGTGATTATTGCTTATCGTTTTCAAACCAAATGGATGCTATTTTTAAAGACGGAATATTAAATATTAGATTTTTCACAAAAAGGTTGAACCAAACAGCAAATAATTTTTATTTTTTGTTTTTTTATTTCCCCCTTACTTTTTAAAATTTCAAACAAAAATTATCTGCTTAGCTGAAAATAATTTGTGATTTAATATTTGTAAAACCAAAAACGTTACTTTTTTACTCCAAAAATGTCTATATAAGGCGATGTACTTTTTCTGCATTCTGCATTTGGCATAACTTCATCGAAACACATACGATTATGTGTATTTTAAACATTGGTGTAAATACTTTTTTATATTATATTATATAGGGTTTAAAATATACATATTTACAGTGTATGAATTATATCTCCATATTATATATAATAATAATAATAATAATAATATAATAATAAACAATACTAATCTTTTGTCCTTAATTACTTAAATTGGATATACTGCATTTAAGCGTTGCAACGCGTTGTATACATAGAATAGCATTAAAATTAAAATATGATACTATAATTACCTACATATATTCTATATATAATGATGCCAAAATTTGTCTATATTGATTTAGTGCAAAAAATATTATCTTTTTTGTTTTATGAAAAACTTAATTTAAAAAATGTAAAGATTATAAAATATATTATTACACTTACCATGTTAACTTCGGATATAGCATCAAAACTGGCTATGGTTAAGTCCATACCAACAAATAATGGTTCACCTATAAAATATTCTATGATTAAAAATTGTGTAAACAAGAATTTGCTTAAAGCAATTAAAATAAATAAGGTAAAATGATAATTTTACAAACAGGAACTATATAAAAATATTTTTTATAAAATATTTTAAAAAAATATAGTTATAAGTTATAACTAATTACATTTAAAAACTTTATACGTCATGACTTAATTAAATTAATTATATTTTTTATATTTAAATTAAAATGCAAAAGAAATTTATAACTATTCAAGTTCACCAGATTTGACTCCCCTATATTTTTTTCTTTACGGGTACATAAAAAGTTTAGTTTATGAGACATCAGTAAAAACCATTGTGTATAATGTTAATGCGTTATAGTGTTACTGTAGTGAAAAAGCAGCCTAAACTATTAGGGACAGGCCATTGATTTTCGAAATAGTTCAAGAGTCTTTATTTCGAAGGTGCGATTCTTGTGTGGGGAGCTCATTTTAGCAGTCAATTTGAATTAAAAAACGTTTGTTGTAATCAATTTGTAGATTTTTTAACACTGAAATTAAAAATAAAATAAAATTTATAAAAAACACATTTTTGTAGAAATCCAGTAGCTGTGAGCTATCGTAGTGTGAATTGACCTTAATTGTAGTGTCCGACCGAACGTCAGTTTTTGGCCGAAGCCGAAGCAGGTTCGACTCTTGTCGTAACCTTAGGCCGAAGCCGAAGGTTTAATAAGACTTAAAAATTTACTAGACTAAACTAAAAAAAATTATATAACAATATAAATAGTGAAGTTTTATTGCGTTTAATATATTGTTAAAATATAAATATGACATAGGACATTGTATAGTTGTTACTGTCAGTGTTTTTGTTTTTAGGTTTACACCTGTAATTGGCTACTTTATTTAATTAATAACTAAATAAGGGTAAGTCGAAAAACGGCAAAGGACTTTTGTTCTTCCTTTTGGCTCTACTGTACTAACTTTTTTAAACGTAGTTGTTTATGTATAACACTATTTGTAGAATTTATTTTATTATTATTATTATACCATGACACATTGTGTTTTAAAACATGTGGTCCGACGTCGGAAAATAAAGAGTGTGATTCCATGCCTAATTCTAAGAAAAAAGTTTCTATTAACATGGATCACCATAAGCACAGTTTTTGAGGTACAGGGTGTCAAAAAAATATAGATTGATATTGATTGATTAATTTCCTTATAAGTACTATAGTAAACTGGAAGAGGGGTTTAATGTAGGCATTTGTGGGAAGTACTACCGAAGACATTTCGGAGGAGTTGCTAAAGCAAAGAACAAATAAAAGATTTTCCAGTTAGGATTTTTATTTGGATTACTTGGGGCACCTTCAAAAATAATTCAACGGTTTTCACATACCAGAACATTTACACATAGTCTATAAAAAAATTGGGGTTAAACACCTAAATGGGATTTTTTTTTAGAAAAAAACGTACAGTTGTATTCAATAAAAAAGCGTACAAGAATTAGAATGAGAGAAAACTGTCAAAATAATATTATTGCTTAAAACCGGCTTATCACTGACATGTCATTATAGTTATTTATGTATTAAGGGCATAATAAGGTTTTTATGGTCCGAGGCGCTATTACGAGCCTGAGCGCGTTAGCGCGAGGGCTAGAAAAGCGTCGTAGGACCATAAAAACCACTTATGCCAGCAATGCATACAAAACTTTATGCACGATTAATATAATATTATTTTTAATATATTATTGTTTTTAAAGACGTTTACGTCAAAGAATTTTTGTTATAATTGTCATATTATAATGTCAACTGACATCAGTCAGTTTTAAAGTTTAAAGATGAACGAAATTGAGGAAGCAGCTGAAAAGGCGAAAAATTGCGGCCTGCTGCCGGAAAAATCAAAATCTTTATACGAAAAAACTTACTTCGAATATATCAAATGGTGTAAAATTGTTGTTTTAAATTTTTGACGTTTCATTATAGCCCGCTGGGTCATAATAACGCCCGCGGGCTATAAAAAGACGTTTACGTCAAAGAATTTTTGTTATAATTGTCATATTATAATGTCATCGTGCATAAAAATAATTATTATAGGTTATAAAGAGCATTGCCGTCGTAGGTTAATTAAATAATATTACAAAAATTATTACCTTTTAAAAATGAAAAAACAAACATTAAAAAAATTTAATATATTTAAATATATTTAGTCATGCATCCCTGTTTTTCTATTACTTGAGCCAATCTATTTGGGATGAACTGAATTAAATTTAATACAATATTTGGATTAATATCTTCCCAGCAGTATAGTATAGTTGTATAGTTTCCCATAAATCCTCAGATATCTCAAAAAAGCAGCATCCTGTTCAGGGGTGGACATTTTGGGACGACCTGAACCAACTTTTTGGTTTAGTAAATCTTCCTGTTCCCAGCGTTGCTTAATTTTTAATATGGATTTTTTATTTCTATTATACCACAATTCAAAATGACCATTCTTCTTCGATTCTTGATACTATTTGAGCCTTTTTAACTGACGAGGCATTTTTATTTTCGACTGTCAGTTATAGTGACTTAAGTCAGTGGAAAGCCGGTTTTACGCAATAATGTTGACAGTTTTCTCTCATTCTAATTCTTGTACGCTTTTTTAATGAATACAACTGTACCTGCATATTTGTAAACTTTTAACACCCGGGATTTTATTAAAAAAATATTTTATTTAATTTTTAGCTCTATAACGTACAGATTTAGGGAACAAATATAAAAAAAGAATTATTCTTTATTGGAAAAGTAGTACCCTCGGTAGTACCTACTGAATTTGTACACTTTAAAAAATTTTGTTGTATATAACATTTTAGACAATACCTATTTGTGCATTAAGAGCGCAAAGTGATACATTGTCGCTCTGAGCGAGAAGTTTGACGGCTATCTTGCGAGAGCGGCAATGTCACTTTGCGCTCGAATTACACACAAGATTTTTTTACAACCGGTGTTTCTATAAGAATGTTTGGTAAAAATTAATAATTGTTGATAACCTTAAATTTGACTTTTGTGTCAAAAGTCGCAAATACACTAAACGTTTCTTTATTATGGTTTCCATGGTAACTAAGCCAGCGTTTTGGTTACTTTGTCGCTCGGCGAGCGACAAAGTAAAAAAACGCTGGCTCCTAGGAAAAGTGCAACTTTGCGCTTTCTTTTGGAAGCGCAAATTTGTACATTTCGCTTAGTTGTAGAAAAAATATATTTTTTCTACTTCCACCTTTAAAACACACATTATCGTATAGGTACCTACGTTAAGAGGTAATTTCGGCGGCCATGATTAGAAAGGGAACTTCTTGAAAAAAAAATTAAAAATTATAGAATTAGAGTATTAAAATCCTGTAATTACAACAGTAACAGTGAATTTCAGTAATTAAATTTACTTATTTTTGTCATAATCGCACCCTAACCTTTAAAAATGTCTCTCCCCTGGTCTATCCTTTTACTGTTTTAATAGTTAATCAATAATTTAAAATATAATATAACATAATTACTTTTATTTCAAGTTTTATTTTGTAATTATTTATCTAAATAATTAATTCCGAATCGAATCATTCTACGGCCAAAACTCGAAAAGTGAATATAATAATGTTAAAATTGGTAAATTTAGGTTTTGGGGGTCGCTGATCACGAATATGCTATTAAAATTATCAAATTCAAAATGGCAGGCCGAAAATGGCGGACTTTTTTGAAAAGTATTTAGTTTATCGCCCGGAAAATGTTAATTTTTGTGTTTTTGGGGTCGCTGTTTACGAATTTAATATCAAAATTATCAAATTTAAAATGGCGGACCTTTAAAATTAATAGTTATAATTTTAATTTAAACTCTTCAAATTTTCAATAGAAGTAATTATTTTTTTATTTTAAAGAAATCAACTTTTTGTTAAACAGAGTACCTACATAAATGTAGGTAATTTAAAAATAAAAGTCAAGTTCTTTGTTTTTAATATAAATATATATATTTTAATAAATTTGCCTTTTTCTTTTAAACAAAGTAAATTATTCGTTTTAAATATGTTATTTAAAATTAGGTAATATTATATTTAAATGTATTAAAAAAATTAAACAATTAATATTTCTTGAATTAAAACATTCTTTTTATGTGTTTATTTTTTTTAAATTTAATATGCAGTAACAAGATTTTTATATGTAATTTAAATCATTTGCAAAAAAAATGTTTCTGTGTTTTTTTTAATGTATTTGCTAGCCGCAGTCGCTCGAGTCGCATCAACGAAACCGTACCAGCGGCCCCGCTACCAGTCGCGAGTCGCGACTCGCGACTACTGTCTTAAATCCGGGCGCGTGCATGTTTATTGTAGTTTTATTAATTTTCGGGAAAGTTTGTGCAGTCCATTTTTTAAGAACCTAATATTAGACAGTTTAATAGACGTTTTTCCATAAAAAACATATTTCGCAAAGGACCACAAGTCAACTTATTCATCGTAAAATAATTAAACAAATTTTAAAATCAGGCCTATATGTTAAGGTACGGTTTCGTTGATGCGACTGGAGCGACTGCGGCTTGCGACTGCGATTGATCGCAGTCGCAGCCGCAATATTGGGTGTTTTCGTTGATGCGACTCGAGCGACTGCGGCTTGCAACTGCGATTGATTGCAGTCGCATCCGCAATATTGGGTGTTTTCGTTGATGTGTCTAGTTTTATGCGATTTGGCTTAGTTTTACAAATAACATGGACAACGATCTTTTAACACTAATTCTCTTAGAAGAAGAAGAAGATGAAAAAAGTCTCTACATTTTTTAACATCTTCTTTTAAATGGGAGTTTATAAGTAAATTAAAATATCCTTCTTCTACACGCCTTTTAAAAAACAAATAATTTAAGATTGCCTAAAAGATATTTAGGTAGCACCAACATTAGAAAAGTACAAAATTACTTTTCAAAACACACTAATTATGCATTAAATGCAAATTATCACTGATATTTGTTTTTTTTATGACATTTTCAATAAAATAACAATAATAGTAATAATTGAGCGAAGTAAAAAAGACCTTACGATTGACATACATGAATTCTTTTTTTTTTAGAATTGTTCATTAATTATTAATGATTTTATAAAATTATTGTGTTTTAAAGCAAAAATCCCCTAGGTATATGAAAAACTGTAAGTAATAATCGAGCGAAGTAAAAAAAGACCTTAGGATGAAAATACATGATTTCTTTTTTTTTGTAAAAGTAACTTATATCCTCTACATTTTCTCAAAAAATTATACTTTTTCATAGATTAATAGTAATTTAAAAAAAATAATACTTTAAAGGCAAAAATCCTCTATCGGAAAACTTCTCTTTGTTACAGGCAATAGAAGGGAATAAGTTAGGACATTCATATTAAATTTTGGCACACATTTCTTTTTATATTTTTTAAAATTAAAATTTCGACATCGGTCAATTAAGAACCACCCTAATAAATACCTAATAAAAGTTTTAAAGGCAAACGTATTCATATTTCATGGAATAAAACAAATTGTTTTTATTTATTATTTTTAATATAAATAACATTTAATTTTATATAGAAAACAATTTGTTTTTGATTAATGTTTTATATCAACCAACTTTTAGAGTAGGTTTTTCTGTTTCGAATAAATATTTTATTTTTTCATAAACTGTACAGGGTCGTGGATATATATATTTTTAAGGAAAATAAACAATATTTTCTTAAAAGTCATAGGAAAAGTTTATTTAATTTAATAAATTTATAAGTAATGTATAAATTAATTAATGTGCTATTATTATTATTGTTATTACTGATGTTTTTATTACAATAAAATGTTTTTGAAATTATTTGTTTTTGTAAATGTTTTCAAATAACATAAAAAATTATTACTACATACACTTTTATTACTATTTTGTATTTATATCAGTGGCGGATTGGGGATTTTGGGTATACCAATATCTCAGTTATTAGACATGGGACCCACACCAAATTTATAATAGTTTATTATGACATTAAATAGACAAGTTCGGCGCAAACAGAATTTAAATTGAAGTTTGCGAAAAAAAGTTAGTTTTTTGTGTCGCCTCACCTGGCTTCTGGCCCCCCCATTTGAGATAATTCAAATTAAAGTGGTGCAATTTATACTCCACTATAATTTATCGACAAATTTAAAATTTTATTTAAAAAATATAAATATTACAGATTTTATACGATTTTAAATTTTTATTATTTATTTTATTATAATAAAAAATTATTTAATATGGTATAAAATCTGTAATATTTGGATTTTTCAAATAAAATTTTAAATTTACCGATAAATTATAGTGAAGTATAAATTGCACAACTTTAATTTGAATTATCTCAAATGGGGGGGCCAGAAGCCAGGTGAGGCGACACAAAAAACTAACTTTTTTTCGCAAACTTCAATTTAAATTCTGTTTGCGCCGAACTTGTCTATTTAATGTCATAATAAACTATTATGAATTTGGTGTGGGTCCCATGTCTAATAACTGAGATATTGGTATACCCAAAATCCCCAATCCGCCACTGATTTATATTAAAATAATTGTGCACTACGTCCCCATTGTTTTATGTTCTTAAAATAAAATATGAATCTCAAATTGAAATTTATATAGGTATTTATATTTTATGTGGTTTTTATGACGACAAATTCAAAACTATATACTTACTATTTTTTCCTACAGAAAATGTTATATTTTTCCACCCATTCTCTTTAATAACTATATTTTTGCAGGCTTCATTTTCATAGTCAAAAATAGAGGGATATTTTTGAACTTCTTCTACCAAAATTTCATCTTCAGTTGCATTAAACTTTGCCATTTTTAATTACAATCGCAGACGACTGCGATTTGACTGGTCTATGTAGCAGTCGGGTCGCAACGGATGCGGCTCGATCGTGATCGTCTGCGACTGAACGCGCCAACCAAAACACATACACAAAAATTGTACTCAGCAGTGGCGCGGCTACAATCGCAGCCGCAAGCCGCAGCCGCGAGTCGCATCAACGAAACCGTACCTTAACGACTGCGGCTCGATCGTAGTCGTCTGCGACTGAACGCGCCAACCAAAACATATACACACAAATTGTACTCAGCAGTGGCGCGGCTACAATCGCAGCCGCAAGCCGCAGCCGCGAGTCGCATCAACGAAACCGTACCTTTAATATAACTTTTAACAACAAAACTATTTTTTTTTCCAAAATGTAATTTTATTAAATTATTGTATATAAACATTTACCATTTTGAACTGTTAAAATTAAACACGGCGTTAACGAAATATTAGCTTTGTTGTACAATAAAAATCCACACAACTGCCGAAGGGAGTAGTTAGAGCGATTTTATACATAAACTCTATGTATTTTAAATATTTTATCTACTCCTACATTGACAAGCTGTGACTTTATGGGGTTTTAGTCACGGGCTGAATTTAGAAATAGTGAATTTTGAAAATTTTAGTCACGGACTGAAGTTAGATTTATTATGAATTGGGGAAAAGTGGGGTTAAATCTGTTGAAATTTGAAATAAAAACTAAATAAACATAATTAACTTCTTAAAAATTATTCCAAGCAAAACATATTTTTTATTGTTTGTTAAAAAAAAATAATGTTATGATCTAAACCAGCGGTTCTCAAACTTTTTTTTCGCGTACCATTCATGTGCAATGTGGATTAATCGAGTACCACCGAACTAAATAAAACAAGTTGTGCTGCGTGTACGTATTTATTGAACTTGTAGTTTAATAAAAAATATTGATAACCGTGAAACAGAATCAATTTTTATAGTATTAAAACAACAATTTGTCAGAACAAAACAAAATACGCATGACTCGTCACGATTTTAAAACGAGCAGGGGATTACCCGTTTAATGAACACCAACAACAGTGTTGCCATTAACAATATAAAATGTGGGAAATGATAAATTTTCAATAAAATTAAGCCAACGATAATTTTATTTGAAGGCAAGTACATCTATTATCTATTCGCGTACCACCTTTGGATGCCTCACGTACCACTTGTGGTACGCGTACCACAGTTTGAGAACCGCTGATCTAAATAAAAAGCTATTTCTTACCTCCGAAATTCGGTCTTAATCTTATATCGTAGCCCTCTAACAGTCTTGATATGGTTTGTGTAACATTTTCTAATCTATCGGATACCATGTTTCGTTGCAAACTAAAAATTATAATTGATCAACAAATTGTAGATTAAAAATAGAAATTAAACTACAGAATACCCTTTCAAATCAAACTTTAAAATTCCCATCTGAAAGTACCTATATACAAAATGTTTTAAATAATTTCTGTATTTATTTTCTATACAAATTAAAAAGCTTATATATAAGGGTGTTCCGAAAATGTAGCAAAAAACATGTATACAAAAAATTAAAATAAGTTTATTTTTTATATTTTCGTATACCATAACCATTACCGATATTAGATGTAAAATATTCCACTTTATGAGACAAACCAATTTTTTATAATAAATTAATTGTTTTAGTTACAATGATTTTAAAACTTAATTTAATATTTGTTTTTATGTTTATTAATAAAATAAACTTTAGAGGGGATATTTAAAGGGTCCTTTTAAAGAAAAGAGAATATTTTGAATGTTTATTTTAAATTATATTGTTTAACTGTGAGCGCGTACAAATTCCACCCCTTTAAATTTTGGACCTCTGGATAAACAATAAAGTGGGTTATAAATTATAAGTTATGAATTGTGTGATTACAAAAATAACACGTTTTAAATGTAAATCTTATGTTACTATATTAAATCTGAAAAATAGGTACCTAGTTGGTCATGATCAGGAACTAGACTAACAACCAGTTGCCAGACTAATGACTGGAACAACGAGGTCTTAGACAGTCAATGTCCTTCAAACTGTAAGGAGCCAAAAAGGCTTATGTAACTAAAAAGGAACCAACTAAGAGCTATTAGAGGCGGCCTCACAAAACCGGACTCAACAATGAGACAGAGCGTATAGTTTGTGAATGCGACGCTGCAGACACCTTGGGAACAGATATCTGTAACCTGAGGAAATAAGGCATGCCAACCAGAGCGGATTTGCGCTTTTCTCAAAAGCGGGATACCTTAGGGTAAGGCAGGGCTACACCAAAAGGGAGTAAGCACAATGGGCCATGTGTGTGCCTACGTGCTGCCTATAGAGGCTCCCATTCCAAATTAATCATTCAATCAATGATAAACTTGCGAAGAGCTTTTAGTGATGTGCCACATGACCCAACTTTCCATTAAACAAATGTAACCTTTTGACAATTAAACGCCATTTTGAATTTATTAAAAATGTTACGTTAAAAAAGTAGTTTTTAATGTCATGTTTAACAAACTAAAATTTTTAATATCTAAGTATAAAAGGGGGGATTTTTACGCGGTCACTGTGCAGTATACTGTATACTAGAGTAAAATGAAGTAACTTGTTATATTTTAAAAGTATGTACACTCGCAAAATAACACTTATAATACCTACTATTATTATATTATTATAATAGGCTATTTTTGCCGGAAGTATGGGTTATAAACAAATACATAATTTTTCATCTTATACATAAACATTGTTGACAGATAATAAATAAATTGTGGGTAAATAACTTACTCTTTTCGCATATTGAATCATCCCACCATTTCGGGACACCCTGTATATTGGTCCGATATATTGTAAGATTTAAAAAATGGGACGCATACTTTTATAAAAAATATTCTTTGTTTTAGATACGTATTTAATGCAGTTACCTAGATTAAAAGCTCATTGATAAAAAATATTTTAAAAATAACAAATTGAAATGATTTATCATGTATTATCTTATTAGCTTATTGTGTATTTAAATTTATAGAAATCTTATTTTAAAAGTTTATATAATTTGCCAAACAGATTAGCAAGTTATAGTTAAAATTATAGTTTACCCATATACTATTTTAAATTAATACAGTTTTATTTATTATTATTATTATTATTATGTGATTATTTATATAATAATGAATGTCAAACAAATAAAAAAATATACACATTGTGTAAAATAGTATATAATATAACATATGTATGTATACACTGTATTAGTAATTATATTTATAATGTATACATTGTATATTTATAAAAATAAATTCTAAATTGTATTTTTAAAATTGTTATGTAGGTAGATATTATTAATAGATTAATAGGTAGATATTATTAATTTACTTACCCGCCGGCAAAAATAATGTTAAACAAATAAAAATTAAAAGTCAACATTGTCATTATTATATACATTTTATTTTAGTTAAGTCCCTTGCGAAGTGGTTTTAATTCTATCCATTACAGTGTCTAGTGTACTTTGTTTATTAACAAAAATATAAGTTTTAACTTGGGCTACTATTAAATTTTATAGTTACTATATTTAAAGCCATATTTAACTTTGATTTGTTTAGTTTAATTTGTTGATTAGTAGTTTGATTTAGAATGTTAATATTAAAAGTGCACACAGTACTGTTAATTGTTTTTAATTAAACACCACCGAAAACTCATTCTGCACTTGAGCCTAATGTGAATTGAAAACACATTTTATCTAAATATTCTAAGAATGATCCCCGAAATTTTCATGCAGGTTTTCTCGCGATTCACGATCACAAAACGAATTTTCCAGCGCAAGATGTTTTCCAGCGGCAGCTTCTCTATGTATCAAGTGTTGTTCTGACTGTGCGCGTGCGCCCGGCACCGATGAAAACCGAATTTGGTTTTCACGCGTGTCGTCAGATCGGAAAATGAAGTCGATATGGAGAAGAGAGGCTTTTCGCACCCCTCTGGCGGTACAGGATTCGTAAATAAAATAAAATGGAGAATCTATTGAAAAATAATGTACAATTTTTAGTCAACAACTGTTTTATGGAAATGAAAAGGGTTTATCTTCTAAACCATCCACCAAATACGTGTTATATTTAAATTTTTAAATTTTTAAATCTTTATAATTTAAGTTCCTTTTATCAAAATTGTATTTATTATAACGATACTCAAAACCTACTTACAAAATTACTCGTAATTTAAATAACATTAGCTATAAACCCGCATGCGGCTTGCTGCAGCTTTGCAAAATAAGGGGTCATCTATACAGGGTGTTGGCGAAAGGTTGGTTGACGAAAAATGTACCAGGTGATAGAACTTCTTAAAATAACATTAGGGTGTCAATATTTCCCTAGTTTTTTTTTACTTGCAAGTAAATATGTTAATAAATAAAAAATATATTTTTTTTTCAATAAGTTATCTTTTTTACTTAGGTATTATTTAAATTATTTGTTTATAGTTTAATAGTATCAAGTTTGATAAACACCATTTTAGACACGAATTTAATTTAGTCAGGAGCGAGCTAGTGAACGAGTACTTAATTAAATAAGTGTCTATAAAAGTTTATAAACCAGTTGCATTCTATACTTTTTCCACGACAAATACTTATTATTACCTAAAAATGAATAAAAATTAAATATTTGTAGACAGACATCTATTACACAATAGAGTAACCAACTTGGGAATCTTTATTACCGGCGGGCCGCTGAAAATGTCAAATTTTTATGTGTAAATCAAAATGTTTCTCTTAAAAATGGTCCGTTTAAACCGATATAGAAGCAATTTTTTACAGTGAAAGTAAATAAAATGTTTTATTGATACTCTACGGTTATCCACCCGAAATTAGGTTAAATCTAGTTTACTGCCGGCGAAATTAAAAGGTCAGTACAATGTTCATATAAACTTTTCAAATATTGACGTTAAAAAACTATTTAATATTATTAATATTTGTATTTTGGTATTGAGATAATAAAATAATTTTTACATTTGTTATTTTTTTACAAGGGAACTTTATTTTAACAATTGTATGACATTTGACAACTGCCAACTAACTTAAAAATAACTTCAGCCCGTGCATAAAAGGCCATAAAGTTAATGTGTATTTAAAAGGTCACTTAGTGTCATATGGACATACGATAATGGGCGTGTTAAAGGTGGAAGTACTTATTTTTTTCCAATAATTAAAATTTAAATTTTTTTACATTAAAAACTTAACTCGCTTATTAATTAACATGTCATAATACACAAAAAATAGGTTACAATACAGAAATTTTTATGAACTACAAAAAAGTTATATTTCATTTTTTGATAAATCCATCCATTTAAATGATATCGGAGGTCAAAGTTACAAATATATAAAATAATTAAAAATTAAAAGTATCATAATTTAGGCAGAGTTAAACAACACCGGAAAAATAATATTTTTTTTTTCAAAAATTTTTATAGTAAAAAATAATTTTTGTACTGATTTATTTAAAATTTTGACATCCGACATAATTTGAACCTTTTTTGTAGAGCTTGTTTATTTATTATCGAGTTATGAATTTTTTCTGATGTCATTAAAACGTCAATTAGAAAGGGTTAAACGACATCGGAATAAAAGTATATTGTGCCACCAGTGGAAGAAAGGGGAGATTCCTCCAGCGTAGCAAATACGGTAACTCGCGAGTGGAATCTACTCTTTTTACACAATATTTAATTTAACTACTATGGAAATAAAATTGGCTTTAAATTCCTTGTGCACTTTTTTCCTATTTTAACTTACAGCTAACTTCAGCCCGTAGGCGAAGTAAAATTTGGCCCACTGGTTAAAGTTAAAAAACTAAACAGGTGTTGAATAAAAAATATTTTTCTTCCTACACTATGGTAAAGTTTAATTTAACCATCTCTATAGGGGCGAGAAAGTAGGTGTTTCTACGGCTAGCCTTGCAAAATAATTACAAATACCTATGCGGTAATTATTTTTTTACTTTTTTTTAATAGAAGGCGCTCAGATAATATTTATATTAACTATAGGAAACTCCACCAGTGATAATTTGGACTGTTACGTGACGTATTGTTAAAAGGCAAACTTATATTATAACAGCTATATTACAAACATGTGTATATAGAAACTTAGAACGTACACGAGCTATGTGTTTGATGATTGCAAGTTTGCAGTATATTTCTATTGAAATACATATACTACGTCTGATATAATCTGAAACGTTGGTTAAGTTACAGTTTTGTTTATTTTTTTGGATATTTAAGTCTTTGTTTATTTAAAGGCATGCCTAATGCACTAAAAACCCTTTAAAATAGGCTTTAAACTAAATAAAGAAACAGAAAAATGACAATTTCAGAAGCATTGGAACGTTGCACGTTTTCGGAAGTCTTTTATATTTTAAGGGATAATGCGGTAGGTTATAACCTATAGTTATAGTAGGTTATACCTATAATTATGGTATATATACTAGATAACTTATACATATAGAAAAAAATAGCAACACAAAAAATAGGAACATAATTTTGAATGTATTTCAGCCAGAAAATTAAAAAATATAACCAGCTGGCAACCCATTTTTTTGGTTGATCGGTAGAACTAGTAAAAATTTACTAGATCTGTCCAGACCAGTTCCCGATTTCTGAAGAAATGCCCAAAACATTATTTGAATAAAATATAATAAATTAATTAAAATTTAATTTAGGCACGAGCGAGCTTGCCAGCGAGTGCTTAAATTAATGAGTGTATAGAAAAGTTTATAAACGAGGTGCATACTATACTTTTTCTACGACAAATACTTATTATTATCTTAAAATAATTTAAATCAAAAATTTGTATAGAGCGCCATTTATGAAACAATAGGGGAATCTGTGTGTCACCGTCAAATGTCATATTTTCATATTTTATAAACACAGATTATAAATGTATTTCTTGAAAATTGACATTTTTTCACAGTGAAAGTAAAGAAAATGTTTTATGAGGACTTTACAGTGGAGTCCGTGCCCGAATTTAAGTTATAGTTTATACTGCCGGCGAAATTAAAAGGTCAGTACAATGTTCATATAAACTTTTCAAATATTGGCGTTGAGAAACTATTTAATTTTTTTGTATTTTTGTATTGAGTAATAAAATAATTTTCACATTTAGTATTATTTTACAAGAAAGGCACTTTATTTTAACGATTGTATGACATTTGACAAATGTCAAATAACTTAAAGCCCGTGACTAAAAACCTGTTGCTAACTTCAGCTAGTGACTAAAGCGCCATAAATCCACAACTTGTCAATGTGTATTTAAAAGGTCACTTAGTGTCATGGAAACATATACGATAAAGGGCGTTTTAAAGGTGGGAGTAGAAAAATACTTTTATGTCCACCTTCTTAGTAAATTACATTTTATAGGTTAATTTTGGTTTTTTTGTCTCCAAGTAAACGATACATTATGGGAACAGACCTGTAATATTTTACGGGCTTGTGTAAAACACCTGTAAAGTTTTACAGGCTTGTAGAAAAGCAATTTATGAAATGAAATATCACATTTGACATATTAATTAAAATTTTAAATTTGAAAATCGTTATCTAAAGGTGAAAATAAAAATTTGTACGTGTCACACTTTGCAACTAATCTTTACTAGGCTCACTCGCCCGTAAAGATTCATTTACAAAGCCTTACACGTAAATAACTAATAAATGTCTAAATTTGCTCTTCACATTTTTAGTATTTTTTGCAGTCTTGCAGTTTAGCAGTTTTGCGTTGTTTAGGAAGAAAAATAACATGTAAACCACGGCGGTACAGTATATTGTGTACCGAGCGTGGAATCATAGCAATTACTCCAGAAGATGAAAGTTTCCGAGCGAGCCGACAGGCGAGTGAAGAAATTCATTGAAGGAGTAATTTCGATACCATGCGAGGAAAACACTGTTCTTTTTTTGTCGAGTGATGTTAATAATTAAATAATTTTTATAAAACTAAAAAAACTTGCGTCAAAATTATATAAATCTGACGTTTAATTTAATTCTGACGTTTACATTCAAAGTCAATCACAAAAAAAATGATTTTTAAATTAAATTAAATTAAACGTCGATTCCACTAGACAATAAAGTATAGTTTACCTCGCGTGGAATCGCAATTACTCCCTCAATGAATTTCTTCACTCAATCGCATCTGGAGTAATTCCAGGCTTTATATATTAATATAAAAATGCACTCCTTGATAGACGTATCATTGGACGCGTCTGTTAAATCACATATGTGATCATATGACCAATCAGAACAATGGACGTGAATTATAGTTTGTCCACGGTAGACGTGTCTCTTGCAACTTTGTAATAAATAAACTAAAAGTGTAAACCTGTGTAATTTGATGTTTTAAATTATATCTTATATGAGTTTACATAGGTACTTTATGAGTTTACATAGGTACTTCCCAATATTTTTTTTTATATGGTGGAATACATTCAAAAATAAAACAAAAATAATTTAATATTTTTAAGGGTAATAATAAATAACTTAGTAGATGTATAAATTGTATCACCCCTAAGAACAAAGCGAATTCCGGGGTTCAAATGATTTTAGAATAGTATATTAAAGTACACTCTCTAAAAATAAATTAGTCAAAAATGACTAATTTAATAGTTATTAGTGGCTGCTTTTTCACTTGTACCATGGTTAACCATGGAATACCATGGTATCACAAAATTTAACAGCCAATTCTTATGTAAAATTGTCCCCTGAATCCGAAAATGTCGTCAAAAGTTAAAAAAGTAGAACAGTTTTTGAGATATAGTTAATTTTCCATTTAATATGGAATTGACTATATCTCAAAAACTGTTCCACTTTCATAATTGTTGACGGTATTTTTGGATTTAGTGGATAATTTTACATAAGAATTG